AAATCAATATTATTTCTCCACATAAAAATATTCTCAACTATGTGTTAAAATTCAATCTAATAATTATTATGTTGTTAATTAAAAATTGCATTTCGATTCGATTCGACCTCAAAATTCTTGATTAGCACATCTCTATTTAACATCGACTGAGAGTCGAGGAATATTCACCTGAGTCAAAAAGAGCCATCGCTCGCGACATTACGAAGAAACTTGTACTCGACTATCGAACGATCAGGCGGATCATATCGCGATATTCACGCTACACGGTATTTGCGTCATTCCCGTCAAGGATTCCTTTAAGTAGCGCGCGTGGGACTTTTGCCCGTACGTACGTACAAGCGTGCATTAACAATAAACGCGGTAAACGATTGTCTATTACCTCGTAAATTGTTGACACTAACGATGTGGGTCAATGCCGTTGTTGCATCCGGAAGGCTATTATTAATCGCCTTTTTTTTCGACACCGCGAACGTTTTGTTTCAAACGCGACCTACCCCAACTGTACACTTCGATTCGTTGAAAAGCATTTCTCAGCGGTCGCACGTGAATCATAATTCTAATTGCAAATCGTGATGACTATTTGACCTCTCGTATTTTTTCATAATTATGGCGCGTTATCTGACCGATATCTAAATTGCATTTTCGCTGGATACACTCCACTGATTTCAATCATCCGTTCGCCACGGGGGAATTATGTAATTATTACTTCACGATACTGAACTTTCGTGCGTGCGAATGACAACGTACGGATCACACAGCTCGCGAGCGTTTCAATTCGATATCTCTCACAAATACCTAATCGAATAAATAATAGCCTTCGAGACTGATCATTATGATACGCCGTGAGTAATGCGATACACGCGATATTAAATCAGCACGAGTAGCCCGTACAGGAAACCCATACAGGAAACGCAAGATTAACTTGCCCACGCGATTTCTTTTCCGTTCGAGAAAAAATTGTTTCCTTCATCTCTGCGAACTAAAGAGAAACGTACAGTTCGAGGTTTCAAATTTAAATTACCTTCTTCAATCTTAGCACTCAATCTCTATTCAGATCGTGACTTGCGACGAATGTGTCACGCTGTTCGCGCGCGCACCCGGGAATTGAGACAAAACCCACATTTCTCAATGTTGAGGCGCCCAATTAAAGCCCGACAATCTCGCGATCGCGAGCTCCCGGCTTTCACTGATACGCGGCGATACCGTGCACCGATACGTATCTAAGGTCGAAGTGGCTCCTTAGGCGCGGCCTTATCACCCGTGGAAACAAGCCCCCGCCAGTCAGTCAGCCAAGTGCTCCGAGAGCGCGATGACAATGTCGCATTTACGTTGGGAATAATCGCCGCTGGCTCGTGTCATCGTACTTGCCGCGTGACGCAATAAGTCTGAAAGTGATAAGCAGACGGTACGCAGTGCACGCGATTGATCGGCGTGTTAATCGATCTGTCTTGGCCGCGGGAGAGATTAATCACGCCGCTCTCTCGTCGCGCGATTTCGAGCTTTCGCTCCGTCGCGCGGCCACGATACGGCTCTCTCAGTGTGTCCGATAACACCTTCCGAGAAGTCTCGAGCGCGAGAGGCGCGTGAGCGAGACGAAGGGCCGGATGAAGGCTCGCAGTCGAATCTCGGCCGCGCCGGAAGAAGTTGGACTGCTCGTTTCGTTCCTTTTGTTGCCGCCTATCGTAATTGAATAATACGTTTCGCGAAATCGCGCGTGTTCTCGGTGTCTTTGTGGCACCTATCGTTGCGCAGTCGATTTATCTCGCCGTCGCGTCGTGTGAGATTAATCGTCGCCGCCTCTCTCGTTGTAGGCGATTTCGAACTTTCGCCCGATCGCGTATTTAAGGCGACGCACGTGCCCGACGCTGTTTCAATGTCGATCGAAAGCAGTGATTCTATACAATGGTGATTCACGCACTAACGTGACAAGTATGTACGGTGGGGCATGAAAGGTAACTCCTCGATTATCCGAATTTGTCGAACGCGCGACAGCAATCGGGAAAATAACGAGAATTTTCACAGTAGCAACCTGCCCCTGGTAGCACAATGTACTGGCCAGTATTTCCCGATGTAAAGTCAATATTGGCCATGAAATAAATGCAAATATCGCACGGTAATAACTATATAATATTAGATTTATACATATAGAAAATGCATTTGCCAATATTTAGCAATACAACATGATTATTGGCCCAATATTGGTTATATTGGAAATGTATTGGCCAGTGGTTCCCAATTTTAAAATCAATATTGACTATTAAATAAGTGCAAGTATTGCACAATAATAATTACACAATATTAAATTTATATAGGAAACGCATTTACAAATATTGAGCAATATAATATGATTATTGGCCGAATATTGGTTATATTGGAAATGCATTGGCCGATATTTAACAATATTGGTCTAACATTGTATCAAGCATATAGTTGAATCAAGAAATATTTTCTTGACTCAACAGTTTTGTTTCTCAGTGTACTGTGAATGAAACACCAGACAAAATCTCAGTCACGCTACGCTCTTTTACGAATCGTATACGTCTACATTATTGTACTGTTTAAAAATATTATATTTACTTTTTATCTTCGCAAAACTCTTTCAATAGGAGGATGTCTAATCTTAGAACAACTCACTTATTTATAAAAAAACAACTGATTCACGTTTAATAACGAACGATTTGATTTCACTTTAAATCACCCGCAATGAGTCAGATGTGATGAATCAGAAAATCATCGAGCGAGAGCAACGAATATTATCTCATTAAATTAAAAGCGCAAAACATACTCATCCGATATTAGTAACTGATCTTGCTCTCTGTGAAAAAAGCCATTGTTTCCAATCTCGCAGTCGGGAAGCACGTCGCGATCTAAGTGCGACTCCGAGCTGCTTCGTAACAAATCGACACATCTCGTTGAGAAACTGTTGCTCCTTAACTCTGTCTCGACGTATTTGTCGAAACATAAATCTATATCGGGAAAAATGCCATGTCTCTTTCTCACTTTCTCGTATCCCACGTCATGTCGATGCAACAATGTTACGGTTTCGTAACATTTGAATTTCTTTTCACGCGAGACAACGCCTCGTGTCGCGAATAAATACGTTGTTTTCATGTCACACATTGTTGCACCGGAAGGAAGTCGGCCCACGCCGGCTCCGCGCTTCAATAACAGCAACATGGCTCGCATGACTCGCCTCACCATTTCGCGTGCACGAGATCGTTTTCCTCCGACGGTGCCGCAAGAACGAGCGCAAATGTGGGTAAAATACATATCCCGAAATTCTCAAATACTGAAATTAACCATCTCCGATCCAAATTATCTCCCACAAGTCAGCGAAAATCAAGTATCTCGTCCTCGATTTAATTTAATCGATAGATCTATTGTGGATCAATATTTAAATCCTATTTCTAATAATATTCGTATAACCCTAATGGCACAGTGCATTGGCCGATATTGTTCAACGTAAAACCAATATTGGCCATGGAATAAATGTAAATACTGCACGATAATAGTTATATAACATTAGATTTACATTGGAAGTGCAGTGGCCAATATTTAACAATGCAATAAGAATAACAGACATATTGGCTAAATAAGAGAAGGCGTCCATCTTACAATATTGGACCAATATTGGGAATACTAGATTTACATTATTTCCCAATATTGCGCCAATATGTTGTACTACTAGGGAATTTCTATTGGGTGGATTTATGGGGAGCGTGGCATGACTCGAAATATATTATTTGTTAACTGCAACCACTGATTTAAATACTTGGAAAACTGCTCTTATCACAAAGGATTATGTGAAATCTACTTTGGACTTTATTTATGTTAGGCATAAAATCATCAACGCCACGAGCGCACTTAAAAATATTATATTATTGCTGAGACCGAGTCCACCCCCACTCTGTTGCAAATTACATCTAATTTTACTGTCCACTTGCAATTTCCTTATTTTTCTCGCTTATCATCTCGTCTCACGCGAATCTTCTCGTCGTTAAAAATAACAGTCATTGTTTGTATCGGCAATACGCGGTGTAATCGTTGATTATAGGAAACAACGTCGTGTCAGAAACGCAAGTGTTTTCACGCGAGAAGCGCGACGGACACGAAAGCGGAAGATAAATCGCGCTATCGTCCGTTTACGTGTCCGCAGAAGAACCGCGATAAATCGTGATCGTTGATCCGTAGAATTAGAATCTTGGGGGAGTCACAGCGCGCGCGAACTGTGCACCGTAGCGATTATACCAGCGCCGAATGGAAAGTCCGTCGGCTCGATTCCACGTAGCCGGGGGCTTATTCGAGGAAGTGCGTGAGTAATCGTGCCGTCATTCAGTCGCCGATTCTATGGGAAATAATCGCACACCTCCGCGCAAAAGAAGCGATCGTTCTAAGTACAAACTACGTCACGAAGCCGCGAGAGGAGGAGATAGCGTCGAATCGCGATGATGTAATCGCGATAAAAATCGCGATTCAAGGCATCTCGTACAATACTTCACGTCACGTTGAATGATTTAAACTCCGGCGTTTTTCATCATTACGCGTCATATGCGCAAAGCGCAACTCGTCGCGGCCATAACGGAAGTCCCGATTGTTTACTCGCTTCTCTTATTGTTCGCTTCAGTTCTATGGACAGATCGTGCTACTTGAAATATTCTGTTATAATGTGCTTGATATAATATATTACGAGTAAAACGTTGGACGAAAGCGGAAGTGATAAGCGCGACTACGACTACGATTGCTGGTCTCTAAATAACTTTCATTCCTCAAAGTTGTCGGTCACATCATTTACATAATTAGATTAAATATCTGGCCTCCGATAAGAGAGCGTACGTTTTTCTCGCCGGGCAGATAAATGATAGTGCATGTAGGAAGTAGCAGCGAAAAATTATAAAAACAAGCGTCGAATTCACGTCACGGAGCTGTTTGCGGTTGATCGGACGATTAGTACGTCAGCGATATCACAGAAAGCTGCTTCTCATCGTAGAAACACTATTCTCATTTTCATTACGCGTTTCTGCGAAATTTCGTATTAGTATTTATAATTATATGCCACTCGCGTAAATGACCGACGCGGGAGTCGCGAAAGAATTCGTTCAAAGAATTCATTGTTCACGTTACACGTTTGTTACTCTCCAATACCGGATAGTGTAAAAAGTCGTTTGCATATTGAAAAATTTTCCTGTTTAAGATCATCTTTAAATACTCCGTAGCCAATAAAATGTTCCATACAGCAACTTTAGATAAATTCAAGACGGTCTTGAATACAAGATCTGACTATGAATACCGGCCTAAGTCTCGCAGTAAATTCCACCCTCTCGGTCGAATTGAGTTTGATACAGGACTGTTTAGAAACGTGACTCACCCTTCGCCTTCGCTGGGCTTCAGGGGTAAACGAGCTCCGAGTTCAATCGCGGACGCCAAGAAAGTCACGTACAAGTCCGCGGCGCCTTTCCATAATTTTTTCCTGCAATTACAATTGAATACGTTTGCTGCGCTTGCTTGCTAGCGGTATAATTTATTTAATTACCATTAATTACCGATGCAGCCTCTAAAAAATAAAACTGATCCGCTCTTTGTTCTGATTTTAGAGCGTGATTTGTTCAATTTTCTCTATTTTTTCCTTCGCAAAGTTAACTAGCTCGGTTTTTTAGAAGCTTATGCATGTATTATATTGAAAAATTCTCCTGTTTACGCTTCGCATATAAGGAAGGAAGCGGCGGATGACGTACGTTATCAGTATCGAGGACGGTGAAACTGCAGAAGTGAGGATTATAAGAAATTGATGCGACCGACCTGAATATATCGAGGAGCTTTTGAGTGCGATTGCGATCGAACATGTCTTCCACGTTGAGATTGTCAATCTTCAGGTGCACCTCGTACTTGGTCAGATTCTCTCTCTCGAGCACGTTCATGTCGAGCACTTTGTAACGGGTTTCGTAGGTGTGTTTGTTCAACCCCACGATCTCCAGCTGAAACAATCTCACTTAAGCGTTTGTCAACCGCGAACTGATGGTATAGCGATTGTGTATCACCTGAAAATACTTTTGATCCTTGGGCGCGACGCCGTATAGAAAACCATGATGATCCTTCTTGCTGTAGGTGTAATGTATCCATGACGGGAGATCGGGGGCGTTCAGCAAGGAGGGTTGATACGAAAATTGATCGGAGTGCCCTGAAATAAAATGGCACGGTATAAGTAGAGGCGTTCACGTCGAAAAATGGCAGAATAATTATTTATAAAAAAATTATATAAGAAAGATATAAAATCTGTAATGGAAAAATGTGCAGAGAAAAAAAGATGAAAAAATTGCGAAAGAGAAACTTGAAAAACTGAGAACAGAAATGCCGGATAATAAATGATGAGAAACAGGATTGAAACGGCAGATAAAATAAAATGAACGATACAACAGCTCTCAATGCTCGTATAGAAAAAGGCAAAACAAATGATGGTAAGATAAAATAAAATACACATTTTTCTCGGTGAATAAAACTGATCGAGTGTCCGAAACATATGAATGCGTGATCTAAAATCTCTATGAACTCCGGGATCCTTTCACTTCTCCCGAAGTGATCGATCGACCCAAGTTTGAGGAATACGAAATAATTTTTTTTCCGCGTGCATGTGGAAGGAATTTCTCATCTAATCCGAGAGACGTTATATTTCTCGCGAGACAGGCGATATAACTTCAATGACTCGTTTCGTGTATCGTTAAAATTGTCTGAAGGCGCTGAATTAGAAAGTACCGTGGTATGCGACAATATTGGCCGTAAGGTCAGCGCAACGTTTACGACGGTCCAACGAGTAATTGCTATTCGCCGCGAGTTGCGAATGACGTACGAAGACATACTTTAATTTCGTATTGTGAAATGGGTTAACGGGTATCTACGTAGGATAATTATAGCCTGACATTATGTCTTATTTTAGAATTTCATTAGGTTGGGCTTTCGCTCCGAGACAATGTACTGGTTTGGAAATAATGATAATAAGTTGAATACCTATTGTAACGTTACAAGAATTTTATTCTACGCGGAATGTTTCCTTCCAGGATCGCAATAGTTTCAATGCAAAAAGTAATTTTGCCTCTATCTAAGATTTAATATAATAGATATCTCGTTTAACTTTTTTCGTTAGTTACAAATCAAAAAATATAATTAGAATATAAAATATAGTTCAATAAACGTCGCATAATTAACAATTGTGAGCACTTTCATAGACAAATGGGAGGACTTTCAATCTTTTCAACTATTTCGTCCCTCTGATTTGATTTCGATAATAATGTACATAAGCTGAGAACAATGATACATCCCTTAAGCATAATTTATTGGCGCAATGTTGGGAAATAATGTAAATCTAGTATTCCCTGTGTTGGCCCAATATTGTCAAATGGACGTCTTCTCTTATTTAGCCGATACGTCTATTTAACAACATAGGTCTAATATTATATCAATATTAGATCAATATTCTTATTGCGTTGTTAAATATTGGCCAGTGCACTTCCAACACAAATCTAATATTAATGATATGTAATTTTTAAACGACCTACACTGGCCAATATTTTCATTTAAAAAGACGGGACCGAAACGTTGCAGTGTTTTTCTTTTAAATAAAAACACTAGCTAGGTCGTTTAAAAATTACATATCATTGGTTTTCAACTACTGGCGATATTAAATCTATTTGTAAATCTAATATTATTAAACGTTTATTCCAATATTGGCTTTACGTTGGACAATATCGGCCAATGCATTTCTAATATAACCAACATTGGACCAATATTTAGCCAATGCACTGTGCTACTAGGGATAATACAATCCGACATTTTTCTTTTGTTCCCTGAGTCTTTCTTTTACTTATTTCTTCTTGTATATCGAGTTTACTGATATCCAATAATTACTGGAAATATTAAAGTATTTCTGTCGAGAAAAATTAGATAGATCAAGTATATTCTCTTACCATCTGCGCTCCAATCGAAAGTCTCGGGTCTGATGGGAATGACAAAGACCTCTGTCATTAGAATACTCTCGGCGGTGACGAAGGCCACCAATGTCGACAGTAATATTATCGGATGCATGATCGTATACTGGACAGTGTCAGCGCTGACAATGAAAAGGTCGATTGGTGATGACATCAAGATCACGATAAGAGCTCTTAGCGTTTTCGAACGATCGAAATAGAATGAATAAACGTGATTCTTACGATTCTTACGATAAGAGTGCCAATGAATGGCCCTATTGAATCTATACTCGCGGTTCTGTGTTTGTATAAAATAATATGGCAAGATTTCATAGAGTCTGAAAAATGCCCAGCAAGTAAGATTCGATATAAGTTAGAAAAAGTTCGTTAAAAATTGTACATGTATTATGTTACATAGGTAAAAATATTCCTTGGGAATAAAGCAGTAGTAATTTTAATTGTTATGTGTTAATAAGTTAAAGCAATTCCTTACTAAAAATATACATCTACTTGTCATTTAGCGGTTTGTTTGATAATTTTTGTTAAAACTTAAATGTTAACGTAATCCTGAATTACAAAACAAAGAAATCGACATCAGATGGAAAATGCGCACGTTCTTTATGTTCGAAGTCATTTTTTTTTTGCGAAATATAATTTCTTCAAAATCACGTTTATTCGAAAACGCTATCGAACGCTCTTAAAAATAATACACAGATGACGCGACTTTTACTTACGAAGAACCGGACGCGCGACTAATGCGTTTTGTCGATCGAGATTTTCAGCGAAACTCGTACACGATGTCCGTTCGTGTCAACACCGTATACGCGTCGCGTGACTCACGTGTTAGTATCTAGTATAAAAATCACGAAGCAGCCCCCGACTTTGCCATTATTGCACCCGGCGACACGTGGGACGACGCGCGTTGCACGTGAGAGAAGTACGCGGTGTCCCCGATCGGAGCACTTCCTGGATCGATTGTTCCCGATAGTTTTTCCAGGGATACAGCATTAGTATTAGTCAGGCGCGACGTTGAGGATTTTTCTTCTCCGCCACGCAAGCTCCAGTTTTTCTGCAACGAGTCGCGACAGCGATATTGGTTAGAAAATTGCTGACATATTTTCTCTTTCTTTCGCAGCGGTTATTCCCTTAGCTCATTATCGCGTTGCCGTGCCAATACATTTTAATTAAGATGCTAGGAAAGATGCTACACGCGTTCAATTTTCCGAAAGAAGACAATATCAAAATAAAATCAATAATTCGTATTCTCCTCTATCGAATTAAAAGGATTGACTTACTACATTGAGACAAGAGTAACTTGTATAAATGTAAGTTTATATATTCTTGCGTTTGGAATAAATTTTCCCTCCATCTTACAACGCCCCAAGTTGGCACCACGATACTCGACAAAAGACGATACATACTATCATTTTATTCTAGATTTTAGAATTGTCCTTTTAAGATTACAATTTTCCTTTGTCTATAATAAATATGATTGGCGCTATATCGATCCTATTTTATGACATTATACATTGAAGTGTAATTGAATCCGGAAATTTTTTCTGTGGGTGCGCGCACGAGCTAACAATGAATTTGCCACTAAACAGATTTCACTCCAAAGGCAATGAATTCATGATGGAACCAACACATGGCTATTAGTTTATCAGTCCGTTATCTCATATTAGGAGGCTTCCTCATAATAGACGATTCTCCTCTACTTAAGATATTCTCTATCTCGCGAGTCTTATCTGCTTCTGTAACAATTAAGGCCTGGCATCACGAAATCGAAGCCACGTATCTCCGTGAAATCGGTCGGGCACCGCGCGAACGGCAGCTCCGCGAGTGACAACCCCAGGAAGTTACCCCGGGCGTTCGCGCGGCTCGATATTTTCGGCGAGCCGCCCGAATTTCCCGGCGGGGTCACGGAAATCGATCGTTACGCAAGCCCGGATACCTCGTGGTCGGTCGCGCGACGAAGCGCTGGACGAAGGCGCACCTGGTGCGCGACTTCCTCGACGGACTCGAGCCGCGGCTCTGGAAATCCGGCGACGCGACTCCCCGGCCTGGCGCTACCTCGTCGCCGACGTCGCCGTCGCTGCTCGGTCGCCCCGCGTCCCCGTCGCGCGCGTGCGTCGCACCACGCACGCTCGCACGCACGCACGTGTCGGAGGCTTGCGTAGCCAAGGACCGTCTGCCGCGACGCGGTGGATGGACGACACCGCCGGGTCAATGCGATGCACAGTGAAACGAGAACCGCGACGCGGTCAAAGCCCGCACGCGGCTTCAGCTCGCGCGTGCAAAGTCGCGTAGAGTCGTGCGATAGTAAGCTGGCGGACGACGTACGGGATAGCACGCCCGGATCGACGACGTCGAGGAAAAAAAAAGAAGAGATGCGAGAGGACCGAGGCGAGACGGAGCACCAGGCGCCCGCGCGGCTCCCTGTTCACATGCGCGGTTGGCGTCGCTTCCGACTGCACACACACCGCCTCCAGGACCGTACCCCTAGTAGCACAGTGCATTGGTTAAACATTGGCTAAACATTGGCCCAATGTCGGTTATATTAGAAATTTATTGGCCGATTTTGTCCAACGTACATGCAATATTGGAATAAATGTAAATGTTGCACAATAATGATTATATAATAGTAGATTCATGCTGGAAATACGTTGGCCAATATTTAACAATGTAATGAGAATATTAGACCGATATTAGATCACATTTCTAAATAGACATATTGGCTAAATAAGAGAAGACGTCCATCTCACAATATTGGACCAATACAGGGAATACTATAGATTTACATTATTTCCCAATATTGCGCCAATATATTGTGCTACTAGGATACGCTCCGCCTTTCGAAATTTCTCAAACCTGCCTTTCTCGAGGTGCAATCCTGCTTAACATCCCACAATATCTGACGCATATTCGTCGGATGTTTAGTATTAATTGAAATTTATTTATTTAAAATCAATTAGAAATTAAAGAGGCCGTTTATTTATTTATTCGATCGAGGCTGAAATGTTTTTTGCTCGCACGGGTTATACATTATTTAGACATTATTTGGAAGGACATCATGTTTTTCGGGTATTATTTAAATTGAAATAAATTAATATCTAGACGGGAAAGAAAAATCGCGCTGTGATGAAATATATTTAATATACAGTAGTCTCCGTTTCTTTCTTTCTTTCTCTTCGCTCGGAAACGTTTGAAGAGTTTGCAGTCGCGGACACTTGAGCGACACGAAGAGTCGCGTTAAAAAAAAAAAAGAAAGATAAGTTACAGGCTTGCATCAGACTCCGTTTCTTAATGCAACGATATTTTTATGCCTCGCAGAAACAAACGCCACGTAACGGCGCTGTTTGCTCCTATTTTTATCGTTATCTCCGAACTATAATAAATCTCAATTTACGACCGCGCCGTCGTTATTTATTTCTTTTTTGTGTATTAAGAATCGCGCGCGATTTATCTCGCGGCAACATTCGCGCGCGCGGATGATAATGACGTTCGCTGATGCGGCCAATCAGGTTCCCAGCAAACGTAATCGCATTCATTGACGCAACTATTATTATTATGGCCTTTCACACATTACGATGACACACTTTTACTGAAACTTCCGTCCCGCTCATTATCACGACGCCCTGCTGATGCGAGATAAGTTTTTTATAGCCGGTCGAGAAACGGCTAACCGTCAACAGGGAATCCAGCTGAACGAAAATTCCCAACTGAACGAGCCTACGTCTCGTTATGTTAATTCACACCTCGCGTCCTTCCCAGAAAAGCCATAATTTGGACCTCTTAAAATCGCGCTGACGATCTTAGAAAAAGATTGCCGCGCGATCGAGCATTCAGAGGCGTTTCCCATTTTCTCGGAGTTTTATAAGATGGTTTTTACATGCAAAATTAAATGTTGCCTTTAAACGAGAAATATGATAATTAGGCCCGGGAGCGAGTACGTAAGAAATATGTTAATTTCGAATGAATGAGCATTAAATTGCCTTTTGTGGGCACTGTTCCGAGAAATAATTTGTCAAAATTGCACAGATTTTGACACGGTTGTCTCATAAGGAATATCATCGAGAAACGCAAGTCCATTGGTAGTCAATAAAATCTGGACTCGTCTTCAGGTATCTCTCAAGATAAAACGAAGCGCAATAACACGAAATATCTTGTTTTCGAGAACATTCTCAAGTAAACACATTTGTTGTTTAGAGATTCAGAAAGATTCGCTGGACATTACTTACTCCTACATGTTTATTATTTACTCCTACATGTTTATTATTTAAAACCGAACAACTCAGAAGCTGCTGGTGGAAAAAAAGAATAGCAAAAAAAAACACGATACTTGCAAAAGTGTAGAGTATCTCGTATTAGATACCTGTCTCATAATAGAGGACTTTCCTCTATATTTATATTAATAAAAACGTAACGAGCGACGTTAAAAAAGTTGAATATTACATTCAATTACTTAGCGTTCTAACTTAAATAAAATGAAAGCTTAATTATAAATTGTCCCCGTCGCATTTTTCCGCACGCCACAGAAAAGTCGCCGCGACGAGGAAAGACGCGCTCTTACATCCGCGTTCGCGTCGCGGTAAACCGAGAAGATCGAAACTAGGAAGAGGACGCCCGACCGTTTCCCAGTTTAAGATAGTACGCGTTTCGTCGCGGTTACAAATCCTTCCCCGGCCGGAATCCTCGGGCGAAACGTTAGAATCGTGACGCGCCTTCTAGAGAAAAACAAAAAACAACGTTCCCTTCCCAGCGCGACTTTACTCGCGGACGCGGTGCGGCGCATCAAACGCACTATCGCGTATCCGGGATGACGTTTCCGGACGTCACGGGATTCGCGATTCAAGGTTCTCTCCGGAGAAAATGGCGAGGCGCGCTCCAAGTTTGCCCGGTGAGTAAATCGCGGCGATCCCCGCGGTCCTGGCGTCGGGGGATTTTCCTGGCGAGGACCGAGAGGGGCCGGGGAGGGACGCAACGTGTGTTTCACCGATAACGCCGATCGCCGCTCGCGCGTGAAAGCCCCGGCCCCGCGTCCTGTCATCCTCTGCCCGCGGGCCAGAAATGCCAGTATCGATCCCGGTCGATTGGTCCATTGATATTTGTCGCCGACCGATATTGCGACACAATTGGCGACGGCACGAGCGACCTCGGCACGTGGTGCGCATGACTTCGATAATTTTTTTTCCTCTTTTTCGGAGAGCGACTTTAATTGCTATTGAAAAAAGTGCATCGATAAAACTGTCCTCATTTGTGATCGCCAAAGTTGTCGCGTATCTGCGTTCTCGGCTTTCTCTCGGCTACTTTTTGCAACGTTCGTTCTCTCGGCTGCGTTTTTGCGGTATTCATACATCAATTGCGATTATCTCACGATTACGACTTTGTCACTCTCGCCCGTCGACGGGGTCGAAACCGTCCATTTTCGAAAGTGTTCTCGCTGGGTTAAAGCCTCATTCGTGTCTAGAAACATTTCGTTTTACATAAGCAAATCGAAACGCCTGGAAGATTTGTCGACGGCGTACGATTGTACAACGCGCAATGTACAATCGATCAACTCGTACAAATTTTTGGAATGTATCAATCGTCTACGAAACAGAGTGTTCCTAGACGCTTAAAGCCTGATCTACAACGTGCTTCCTGCGTCTAGAGATATTTTATATGAACAAATCGAAACGCTTAAGAAATTTGTCGACAATGTACGATTATGCAATGTATAATATACAATTTACCAATATTGACTATTGTTACGGATCCGTCCCTCTGTCGAGTTGTGTTATTCAGTCCTCTTTATGTCTGGGACCATATGGAGACTCACTGATACTATTTACACAGTTGAAAAATTTGTGTTAAATTTAACAGATATCACATATGTCCCAAACAATCCACGTAAATGTTTGTGTTAATTTAACATAATATGGATATGTTAAATGATAACGCTAATACTCTGTTGATATTTTAACGCAAAATCAATGCAAATCTCAAAATAATTTGAAATCAATTTTGTGTAAAGTTAACATATTTTTAACGACAAAATGAATTTTAAGAAATGCAATTTTTACATTTCACAGATGTAATAAGTCAAATGACGGTTCGAAATCACTCACTTATGTTACATAGAATAAAATCAACATTGTATTCTGTAAATTTTAACAGCTAAATCTCGTTACTAATAATATAGAACATATGCATTGTGTCAGATTAGAAAATAAGTGCACATTGTGTTGTTTTAACATTTCTTTTCAGTATTTTAATAATTTTACATTCGAGAGAGAGAGGCCAATTAACACAAGAGCAATGTGTTAAAGATTTAACACAAAAATTTTAACCGGCATTATTTTTAACAAGAAAACACAAATTTTCCAACCGCATAGCACAAGATAGAAGGATGACTCCGAAGTCACGTGGTGTGCTGATTTCCTAAGATTTTGCCTTATGTTTTATTCGGTGTAAACGAGTTTCGCCGAAGAAGACCCGAAGAAGGGTCGGTTTCTTGTTAAAGAGCAATTCTGACCTTTATCGCGTGAGAACCGAGCTCCGTTCATTTTGTGGCTCGCGCTGGCACTTTCTACGTACAATTGATCAGCCCGCACAAATTTTTTAAACGCATTCATTGGCCGCAAAATAGAGCGTTTCTAGACGCAAGGAGCACATTGTAGATCAGGCTTAAGAGAGTCGAATTAGAAACTTGTTTACTAATAAGAGATAAACGCCCGGCCGGCTGCTTTGTCCGCGCGTCGCCGTTATTCAGACGCCGTTGGCTCCTTTTTTTTCTGTCCGGCAGCGATCATCTCAATGCCCAGCGGTCTCTTTTTGCTCGCCGGCTCGCCGGAGAGCGGAGAGAAAAGCCGCGGGCGACGCGGACGCGGACGCGCACGCACGACGCACGCCCGCGCCAGCGACACGCGCGCGATAGGCACGGCACTGCCTATTGACGTCCGCGGTAGGCGTGGCCTCCGCGTGTTGGCCGATAGAGGGATATATTTACCGCGCTCGCGACTTTTCTCTCTCGACGCGACGCGACGCAGCGCAACGTAACGCGACACGCACGGCCGCTCTTTCTCACCCGCGCCCCGCGCGCGCGCGCGCGCGCGACAATGCGCACGTACTCGCGGCGCGGGGGATGACTTTGCGCTCCTCATCCTCCCGTCGAGTTATCTGCGTTGTCCGATCTCACGCGCAACGGCGCGCTGCGCTTTCCCCGGAAAGGTGCGAGAACCGCGGCAGCGAGGGAGAAGAGAGGACGGTAGCCGCCGTAGCGGTGACAGAAGGAGAGTGACGTAGCGGCGAGAGGGAGCGAGCGAGAGCGAGGAGGCCGCTAGTAGTGTGCGAGTGCGTGCGGCCGACGACGTGCGCGGCCGCCGTCGATCGTCGCGCGGCCGCGAGTGCGCTGCCAGTGTCGCCCCGTCGTCGTCGGACTCCGTTCGGTGCAGTGTGCCAGTGCGGTGCGGTGCGACCGAGAGAGCGTCGCCGCGGATCCCGCTAGTCGTCGCGCAGCCGTCGGGTGACCAGAGACTCCCCCCGGAGACCCCGGCAGTGCCGGCCAGACGGAACAGCGGCGACACCGAGGCCCCCCGAGTCTACCGAGCGAGGCGAGAGAATGGCGGGCAACGGCGTCCCGGTCCTCCTCATCACCGCGAACGTCGGCAGCATCTTCGAAGAGGTACGTGCGCGCGCGAGCCAGCCGACACGCGAGGCGCGGCCGGCCGCGAGCGTGCCTGATCGATCGATCGCGCTCGTCGATTTCGTGCGATTATTTATCCACGCGACACACGACCTACTTGCCGCCGCCGCCGCCGCCGCCACCGACGACGACGATGACGACGCTCCGCTCTCCTCTCCTCTCTCTTTCTCGCTTTACCTGCCGGATTTTTCGTACGCTCGCGCGTACGCGCAACGCGACTCGCACACGTGCCAAGGCGTACACGCCGATCGGCTCTCGTTTTAGGCGATTCGATCGTCGAGACCGCGAGAAAGTTCGCTCCGCGACGAAATTTAAAGGCCGACCGGCCTCGCGAGAAACTCGACTCTTTCTGTCTCTCTCTCTCTCTCTCGGGCTCCACGTGTTTTAATTATGCGCGTATTTCGTTTCGACACGAGCCCCGACGTTCCACGATGTTCTCGGGCCGAGAGAGGCTCACGTGCGGACCTCGGTGGAGTATACGACCTTGGTGTTGTCGGTTTCGCTCGCAGGTTTCGGCACTCGGTGTCATCACTTCGACGTTGTCCAAAATACATCCTACGTATACCCCGCGCTCCGAAATACCCGCGCGCGGGCGTCGAATCGGCGCGCGCGCGCGCGCGGCGCCGCGCGTCTCGATTTTCCTTTCCGAAAATTTCCAGATTTTCCGGGCGGGAAGTCAAGTTTCGGGGCCGCGGCTCCCCCCGCGTTTCCTTCCGCCCTCGTATGTCGTTTTCCCGTCGTCGAAACCGTCGCGCACGCGATCGACGCTCTATGATCATTTCTCCCGCGAAATCGACGATGATGCGGTACCGCGAAACGTAATCGTTAACGGCATTACGTAACTCGAAAAAGTTTGCGAGAAATACGTTCGCAAGCTCGCTCTCTCTCTCTCTCTCTCTCTCTCTCTCT